TCTGCAGTACCACCGGCGCAAGTTGATGAATTTGCCGGAGTAGCTAGCAGTTTTTAGCACTTGGGAGCGGCCATGTTTACCATGCGGGAAAGTCACATTACTGTCGCGGTCTGTCTACCCATGGCAGCAGTAGGCGGCGTTGGGAGACCATCGTCCGGGGGAACGTAGTTCCTTGAGATCTTGTCTTCGCCTTGGCCTTTCTGATAAGTGCGGCCGTTGTGCATCCGCCGTGATAGCAATGGTTTTTGTGTTGGATAGGGTTTTCTTTGGAGGGGTTTTGCCCGGGGGCCGGGCTTCCCCTCCACCCCCGTATGGTTTTTTATTGATGTATCCGGGGTGTTTTTGCCCCACTGATGGTTAGTCACTCGCGTGAAGAACCAGGGAGGGTGTTTGCGGGTCTACGGACATGGTGGATACATTACCCGTACGTACAAGTGTGACGCAGATGGTGTAGAACCTTTGAGGTAGGGGTACGGTGATGAAGCACCGGGACCCCCTTTGTTGAGTGCAGCAGCCGTGCTGCTACTCTCTCTCTCTCTCCTCCTCCTTTCCGAGCACGACAGCGTCCTGGGTACGGGCGTTGTCTCACCGTCTGAAGTTAATACACTACACAAACAAGTCCCAATAAGTACGCGGAGTACGGCCGACAAACACTCCTGAGATTTGTGCAGTACACGATGGGCGCAGCACACGAGCAAAACTTCAGTTGATCCAGTTGCGATTGGGGACGAAACATCGCAAATGCGAAATGGAAACCAAGCTTGTTCAATAGAGTGACTAGGTTTGTCAAGAAAATTTTGCAGTCCCATTAGAAAACGTATTGATTCCATCCGAGAGTTTTTGTTTTCGTGGTGTTGGCCGTCGAGTTTCGACGTACCAGTGAAAGTTAGTAGTATTCACCGGGTCATACAGAGTTTTGTTGAAGCGTCCGCTGACTGTGCTAGGCTCCGTAGTAGCTTGGAAAATGTAATGTTCTCAACATGGGAACCTGCATGAACGCAAGGCGCGGGTTCGTCTTCGAAGTAGCGTGTGTCGTGTAAATCGCTCACCTTTGCAGAGTTTGGGTTGATGGAGTAGTGCACATGATTCGGACAACCTGTCGTTGACCCCGCTTGTCTTTGCATCGTGGTTCCAGTCCCACTGCCGCGGATGCCATCCGCGTGTTTCATGCAGGAGGTTTCAGAGAGGGAAAGAGCGGTGTCGACTTGGTGACACTAGGCTCGACCTTGGAGTGATACCACTTTGGAGGCTAGACAAACATCAACTAACCAGCAGCCGTATGTGTTTGGTACGCACGAGACGTTGACAAGTCTTTCACCTACCAACTTCGAAGATTCTTTGATGCTCCATGCACCAGTGGAGACACTGGAGCATATTGGACTTTGTCTAATTAAGCCATCGACGAAGGTCTCAGCCGGAAACGCACAGATGGCTGATACTGGCCCAGCTGCCCCACGCAAGAGCCCTCGAATGTGCGGTTCGGTACACATCGTTGCGTAACGCTTGACATTGACCGGCTATTCCAGCGTGGTCGATATACGAAGAAACAGGAACAACATGTAGACTATGGTTTTATATACTGCATCACGTCATTCAATGTGGCTCGCAGCTTCGAGCCACCCGACGGCCTTGCGTCGCACGAATCAGCCCTCTCCATGCATGCCAGTAGAAGAATCATGGACAATGCATGAGAAACTCATGCCACGGCAGATACGAGGCACACTCGCCTAGATCATCCGTTGCACCAACAAGAAAGGGTGAATGTAATGAAATTTTGAAACATTGGAAAGAAGCTCAGGGATAGCACCTATATGTTCTACAAGAGTAGCATCTGCTGCACTTCATCACCTCAGACTTTCTGAGTGGTAGGCAAAACTCATTCCGTCGCACTCCGTGCCCGATGCCACTAGCTGCCCCCCTCCACCACCCCCACCCCCGCCTTGCGCTGAGACCGTTGGGGAGCCGGTAAGAAGAACGCTCCCCAGCAACACCATGGTAACCCCTATTCGACCCCGTGCTCTCGCCATATCAGTATCGATTCGAGCAAGGAGGAAAGCACACCTGAGAGCTGTTTGCGACAACAAAGAAATGTGGGTGAGGGGGAAACGTCAGATGCTGTCTTGACCGTACGAACGTGAACTACCAGAGGTGGGAGCTCTTTCGATCTGACACGTTGCTAATG